AGTTTGGAGCTTAATTTCAGTAGAAAAACCCTCCCCAGTGAGCGCGGCCTATTATTAACCCATGGCAAAAGCATCCGGAGCCGGCAGGATTTCCCACAGTCAGGTTTAGATGGCTCCAGCTAGACCGTAGCTCCAAGTGGGACGCAGGTCAAGCTCGGGACAGGGATTTGGAGCCGGCTCTGCGGTAACCCGTGCCCTGCTAGTCCCAGGGCCGCGCTGGGGCATCCCCCAGCTTGTCCCCGCGCCAGTTTAGGAGAAACCCTCAAAAACCCAACTCCCAGGGAAGCAGGAGATGCTCGAAATCTGCTTTTTAACACCACGGTTGGAAAGGCAGCGTCGGGAATCGCTGCGGATGGGTTTGCCCCGCAAATGGCAGGAATTAAGCGGCAGCTTGGGCAGGAAGGGAAACGGGTTGGGAGCAGGGGGAAACACACGGCTGCCAAGGACAGGTCACACACAGGCCCGGCAGGGCAGGAGTGAGACATCACCTTTCTTTTATATATATATATATGTATATAGATTTCATTCTTTCTTAATCCTGACTGGGTCCTTTTAATAAAGCAGCTCCCGTCATCTGTGACCGGATATTTGAGGGCCTGACACCCTCGAGCACAGCCCGGCCTGGCACTAAGCCCAAGCCAACCCCCCTCCCAATTTCATTTCCTCCGCGGCCAAAGCTTCAGAGGAGCCGAGTGCGGCGCTGGCACAGGGAGGACTCGTGCCAAACCGTCCCGCCGGCGAATTAACGGGCGTCACCCGAGGTGGACATTTGGCAGAGCAACCGCCACGGAGATGAGTGCCTTCATGACCCTGAACCAGCGTTTCCAGCGCGCCCGCTGGACTTGTTCCCTTTCTCCCCGGATTCTCCGAGCCCTGGAGGTCTGCAGGGACTTTTAAATACAGCGTCCGGGCCAGAGGCACGTCACCTCCTTATAGGAAACCCATCCGCTGCCCCCGTCGCCGGCAGAGGGAGAGAGAAAACGCAGCTGCCGCTTAAAAAGATGGGAGCCTGGCTGCAAATAAATGGCCCCTTCCCAATAACTCCTAGGCAAGCAGGAAGAGTAAGGAGCTAAATAAAAGCAGCTCATAAAGAAATAAATCACAGGGAGTGATGGATGGGGTGCTGCAGCTGGGAGAGCACATGGAGAGAGCAGGAATCAGCCTGATATATGGCTTCATCAACCTGCCAGAAGGGCTTGGAGCCACGGGGAAGAAAAGAGGGTAGATGAGTGAAACCGCATGGCTTTGGGCCTGGGGGGTGACCGTGGAGGGGGAGCCCCCGACGGCTCCGGTGGGCCGGAGCTCCCAAAATCGGGCTGGCGAGGCGGCAGGGAGGGAGGCCGGGGCCGTTTCCAGCCCAGAGTCAACACTGACGGCGCCGGGAGAGCCTGTCCGGCTGCATTCCCGCTCCTCTGCCCAGTGAAGGGGGATGGTCGGAAGGACACAGCTCGCGCTTACCTTGGTCTCGGCTAGCTGCCGTTTGAGGAGGTGCAGGGCCTCGGTGTGGCCTCGCTCGCTCTCCTGCAGGCCCTGCAGCTGCTCCTTCAGCTCGCGCTGCAATGCAAGGTGGGCGGTCAGACCCCGGCACGCAGCGGGAGGCACGAGACCGGGGCTGAGCCAGGGGGACAAGGCTGGAAAAGTGCCAGGGAGGGACGCGGGGAAGCCGTGGCGGGGCACCAGGCGTCACAGCAAGCACAAGGAACAGAAAAACCCCAAGACAGGAGGAGCCACGGCAAATCTCAGCCTGGGGAGGTATAAGAGACCCCGAAACGCTTCTCGTTACGCGGCAAAGATAAGGGAAGCGGCGAGGGCAGGGCACTCTGCTCGGCGAGGTTGTGGCCACCCGCATCCCATCCCACGGCCGAATCGGCATCCCGGGACGTCCCTCTCGTTTCTGTGACCCAAACCACGGATATTTCGTAGCCCCGGAAGCGAAGGCATTTGAAAATCCACCTGCTCGTGGCAGTTGCGCGAGCCTTTGCTCTCTTCTGCCTGCCCTGGACGTGACCAAGGCCCTCCAGGGTCCCAGGGGACCGGTGGCCCTGCATCCCAGCCCCATGAATCTTTAATAAGGTATTAACCGGTGCTATCGGCTGGAAAGGGATGAGTCAGTGCTCGTGAAGGTCAGTGGCTGGCTACTGCCCAGCTGCACACACACAGGAAACCAGATCTCCTTAAACCCCTCCTAGGTTTAGGAGGGGAAAGGATCACGGTCCCCTTCGCGCAGGCAGCTCGGCAGCGGGTCCCAGCACCCAGCGTGGGCTGGCTCGCTCTGCCACCGCCGCAGCAGAGCGCCGGGAGGAGAAAGATCTCCACTGGGACACGGGGTGGTCCGTG